CTCTCTCTCTCTCTCTCTCTCTCTCTCTCTCTCTCTCTCTCTCTCTCTCTCTCTCTCTCTCTCTCTCTCTCTGTATATATATATACGAAGCAGCAGAAAGCTTGAAACGATACCAGTTTTTGCAACAGGATTCTTGGAGTTATAGCGGGTATATATATACATATATAGCGGGCATATATAGCGGGTATATATATATATATATAGTCCGAAACGATACCCTTTTGCAATTGTATATATATACACAGAGAGAATCCTTTGCAAAGGATTCTTGGAGTTGACGCAGAGTCGCTGCTAAGTACGCCGAAAGGTTTGTTATCTGGGATTGCTTGTTTGCAGGCAAGGGTGGTTTTTTTTTTTTATATAATCCTGGTTGGGGTCTTGTCCCGTCTGTTTGGCCTGTGGCGGAGGGGGCGGAGCTTGCATGTGGGACTTGTCATCTAGGATGTGTTTATCTTTGTTTCCCCGTGTGTTTTGTTATATTGGCTGTTCCCTTCCTCACTTCTTTGCCTCTTTGCCCTTTGGCTGTGTGCAAGTGGGTCGATATGACACACGGGGGTGGGGGCAGCCGCCGCTCAACCACATCCACGTGGGCGGCCTTGTACGCAAGAGGAGGTTCTTTCTGAACAGGGGGAGTCTTGTAAGTAAGAAGATAAAAAAAATGAATTGATTTTTTCTTTTTTGTTTCCTTCTGTTCTTTTTTTTTCGCTTTTGCGCTCTGATAACTTTGTGACAATATATATATCGATCGACCGACGGAACACACACACACACACACACACACACACACACACACACACACACACACACACACACAGAACACACACTCTTTTCCTAAGCTGGGTGGTACGAGCAACGTGGGCATGGCCCTGACGCGCGATCCCGAAGGGCCCGACATTGGGACCCCGATGATCGGCCATGGAAGATGCAAAATTTTATTTTATTTTTCCCTATCGCCTTTTTTTTTTTTTTTTTTTGTAAACTCCTCCACTTATTCCACTTTGAATGGCAGAAATGTATATGTTCGAAATAAAAAAGACTAAAAATGGGGAAAAAAAAAGCCCATTCCTTTTTTTTTCTCTTTTTTTAATGCGAAAAACAGATACGTACGAGAAGCAATGTGTTCAACGACAAGCACACCCACCATGACATTCGAATGTGTGTGTGTGTGTGTGCGTGAGACAGAGAGAGAGAGAGACAGAAAGACAGACAGAGAGAGAGACAGACAGAGAGACAGAGAGAGAGAGAGAGAGAGAGAGAGAGAGA